GTATATCCTTTCCAGTTCGAGCTGGCCCATTCAAGTTGCATATTATTATAGCCTTAGCACGGTGTACCCTTGCTATAATAGGTCCTCTTCTGTGCTAAAACTCATTCGCTCACTCAAACTCACTCATCACCGACATAGTATCAGCTAAAGAGAGAAACGAGCCTTCTAACCATAGGCCTCTCCATATGACTTACGTATAATGTAATGCCCCAAGTGTTGCAAGCGTTCATAGGCCACGGTAACCGCCGTGTGCTTTTCTTGCCAACACTGTGGTATAAAAAAGAAATATTTTTTTTTTAGATACGAGAATCGAATTATAGACCTTACGCCCTTTCCACCATATACAATGGATATATCACAGAGATCATAAAATAATGAAATGACAGTAACACGTCGAGTGGTCAGTGAGAACAGTTAACGAGTTAACGGCATTCAGTTGACGGGGCCATAAACAAGTTTACGACTGCGCCGGGGTTGCCAGAACTAGGGGACATTCGTAGCATGACAGATTTAACGGTTTTAGGGTTATGCTATAGATTTTTTAGATTGACTGAAATAATCTTGCTAGATGAATGATTGGAAGTTGGTATCTAGCAGGTGTATATGTCGCAGTGATATGATAAAAACATGGATTTGGTAAGAGATTACATCAAATCACGGAGGATGTCAAACTAACAACACAATTTTATGACATTTACTAATGAATATGATGGATATAAATTCATAATAATATTACGGCGGATTATAGAGGTAATTACAATTAAAAACAATGTTTAGGATACAAAGGTAAATTACTACATTCGCCCAGACCTTCGGAAATAATAGCTATGATCGTTATCATCAGCAGCCGGCTACAGTTCTCTACTGGACTATGAACCTGCTCTAAATAAGAGGTTTTGCCAGAATCGCCACGCTTGGCAGGCAAGTTGGAAAGCGCAGTTTAATATGTTCAGGGATATCAGAGCTCTGCTGCTCTGTCTCTGTCATATGCGGGCCCTTAAGCGGCTCTTACGGTACCCGCTAAAGGAGTAGTGTGGTGATAAATGTAGATATTTTCTACAGAGGTACAGGTACCACTATTTTCTAACGGACAACACTTAAACACAAATACCGACTGTATATTTCTAAAACATCATCCCTCATCCCTATTCGATGTGGAGCAATGTCAAATTTTATAGTCACTCGGACGCTCATAAAGTGAAGGGATATTGACATCTTTTACGCTTCACAAACCTTTGCGATTCCACTGCGAAGGAGCATCCATAAAGTTAGGAAATCTTCGAATCACTTAGTACTTTACAAGTGGTTTGCCATATGTTAGGAGAACTCCATTAAGCAATTCTCGAATTGAAAAAAGTTTAGGTACTCGTAGAATTAAGTACCTACCTATTTAGAAATGTACTTTTTCTTCCATGTGGGCTAGGTTTATACAAAACTAGCTTCTGCCCGCGACTTCGTACGCGCAATCCCATTTTCCCCCCGTTCCCGTTTGTAATTTTCGGTAAAAAGTAAAAAAAAGTATTCTATAAAAAGTATCCTATGTCCATCTCCTGGTTCTAAGCTACCTCCCTGCCAAGTTTCATCTACATCGATTAAGGCGTTCTTGAGTTATAAATAGTGTAACTAACACGACTTTCTTTTATATATATAGATGTTCTTTTCACTGCCTATCTAAATTACCAGGTTTGTATCGATTTTATTTATTGGCATTTGCAGAGTTTTGAGTCTTGGTCGCTATAGTCTATTTCATTCAATATTAGCGACTTAGCGTGTATAACTAAACCAATTTGTTTATATTAATTCGCATAAAGTTGTTAGTTATTCGACACGCAGCAATCATTGTAGATTTTGAAATGGAAATGTGACGAGAAGAATAATCAGTTTACAAGTAAGAGATAGTTTTCGACATTTAGTAATGGCGTACGTAATTGAAATTAAAGTATGTATTGAGTTTCTTATCTTATTTTACAATGATGTAGTTTGTTTTCATAATGTACAAAAACGAACGTATCATTATTAGTCTAGTGGCGACTGCTGACCACGACACCACCAGGAGAAGGTTTGACCATTAATCACCACGTTTGCTCAATTTAGTGTGGGAGAGCCTTCGGCACCAATGGGCTGGCTCGACCGGAGTTATTCTACCACGGCCTCACAGAAAACCGACGTGAAGCAACGCTTGCGTTGTGTTTCGTCGGGTGAGTGAGGTTACTGGATGCCTAATTACCCCCTCCCTTCTCCCAATCACCCCAATCCCTGAATCCCCAACGATCCTCAAACCGCTAATCCCCAAAAGGCTGGTAACGCACTTGTAACGCCTCTGGTGTTCCAGGTATACATGGGCGACGCCGATTGCTTACTAGCAGGTGATCCGACTGTTCGTTTACCGGCTTATGCCATAAAAAAAATGCGGGTTGGTGATTTCACACACAAGCTAATAGCCCAGGTTTCCTCACGATGTTTTCCTTCACCGTTCGTCAGTGGTGGCTCATTAATCTTAGAAAGTACTTATAACTCGGAAAAAGTCACATTAGTACTTTGCTGTTGGTATTTTTCGAACCATTGAACCTTCGTGCCACCACGACTACTAACGTATATATCTAACTAACGCATAATATAACTAAGCAAGAAATCTATTAACACTTACTAAGGGGGAAAGGTTAACCAGTGGTACCTTCTGATATCATCAGCAGACTAGATAACACACACATTTTATTGCACAATACCTGCTGATGACATAACATAACATAATATAACATAACGCCTTTTATCCCCGAAGGAGGTGCCACTGTGAGTACCATGTAACACCCACTTTTCACTATTTTATGTTATTCGTCCCATGTAATAGGGGGTGAGCCTATTGCAATATACCGGACACAAATCCAGACTCCGTGGTACCACTGAGAATTTTTAACAACCCAGTAATACTTTGCCCGACCCGAGATTCGAACCCGAGACCCCTTGCCCGGCAGTCGCACTTGCGACCACTCGGACAACGAGGCAGCCTTACCTGCTGATGATACCTAACTTAAACGAAATGGACAGTACTCCTTTTTGAAGAATAAATATGCTTTCGTTTTTCATTAATGAACATGAAAGGTCTACTTAAAGGCTCCATAGATATTTTATAACAATATTTAAAGGGATTTAGAAGGGTAACCTAAACACGCACTGTGAAGGCTGAAAAGGGAACTTAATTAAAAAGATAATTCAAATTCCATCGTCGACCCAGCCGACTCAATAACCGGCCTGGACACAATTTTAAGTAGTAAGTGAGTATGTACATGTATATTGCTTCTATTTGGTCGTTTGCTTCCCTTTATTTTAATTCAAGCGTAGGTAGGTATTTTTTTATCCACTTATTTATTTTTTGTTTATTCTTTTTTGTCCTTTACTTTTGTGATGAGATTGCTTAATTTACACCTTCGGATTCAAAGCAACTGAAGTCCATACCATTTGTTTTTTGTCATCTCTTGTATTACGTACTCACGGCTACACATCAAGCTTTACATAACCAGTATAAACTGAACGTTAAATGTGCGGAAAGATGATGCGACGCGACACCAGGGTAAACTGGTTTTGTATAGATTGATATGAGGCCGTGTGTACCAATCGCAAACAAATGTTTTTCGGAGTCGGAAATTTAACCAATCGCAAACAAATGTTTTTCCGGAGTCGGAAATTTAATCACAAACCTATGCTACAACTGGGTACTGGTTGTCCAACTACTGCCAAAATAATTGCGATTAAATAACAGTAGCTATGAAAAGAACCGTACCCACGCAATTAAATTAAATCTTGGTCCATTGTACATCTATTCTATTATGTAATGACTCACAGTCACAAGGTAAATACTACATAAATTCCAGATTATGCTTAGATACGTCAACATTTATGCAAATCCTCCGTTGTACTTACGTCAAGCCAGTCAGGAACGACCATGTTAAACAAGAATTGCTTGATATTAAATTCATAAAGTTAAATTAGCTGGATGCCTTAATTCCAAGAGAAATATTAACAGAGCGCTCGTATTAAAGATTAATTAGGTAGTAATTTGATAAAATGTTAATTATTTTACTGCTTTTTTGATCATACGAATGACTACTACGATGAGACCTTAAGGCAAATTTTGTTAAGAAGTTCTTTAATTAGACGGAGTTTGATTCCTGTCTACTACATGACATATTGTACAAAGTATTTATTCTTAAATTTCTATTACAAGCATTAACAATTATGTATCACTATACAACAACGATCACCATAAACAAATCTATCAACTACGAAAAAATTACAACAAAGTCCCACGTTGGGCGCCAATAACCAAAAACAAAAATAGATTAAAAGAAAGAACTACCACCTTATACAACTCATTACGTTTATTTTTATTCACAAAATACAAAAATAACTTTGCAGCTGGTACCAAAATATAATTAATAAACGAAATAGTGGTCAAATAATCCTGGCTTATAAAGTTACCGAGATTTGAATCAATTACATGTCTGTGGGGGTTCGTTGGGCTAGGGAAAGTGGACCTGTTGCGCCCCCAGCCTCCCTTTATTACTCTATCTCCGGGTTTATCCAGAATCTGAGAAGACCGGCCAGTATCTCTCCACACGTGGACTAAGAAGCACGCACGTTCGGTTGGCGTCGTCCCGCGAAACGTATTACAATCGTAAATAATATTCTTTCGTTGTTTATTAAAATAAAAGGTGGATAAGAAATTGTATTATGTTGTGTAAATGTGTAGTCTTAATTTTAACAGTGTTAGTAATATTGAACTTTGGGTAAATATCTCTAAATTATTGTAAATGCCCAATTAGATTCCAGCTGAGTTAAAGCTTGATTTATTTACATACATTTATCATTTAACCTAAAATGAGAATAAGATTTCTTCCCTTAATATTTCCATAATAAAATAGCGGACGAGTGTACTAAGTGTTAAGAAACAAACACAGACATCCTTGTGTTAAAACAATGTACAGAGTATAAAACTAACGAAAATGTATATTCTGCATTTATCCTGTATTTTCTTGTTCGCGCCGGTTTTATCTGGTTCGCTTAGTTCGCGGGTTGTGTATAAAGTAGGAGTCCTCATGGCTTCTCGTTTGGACTCCCCTTTTGACCTGGAGCGCTGTGGTCCAGCAGTGGATTTGGCCTTGGATAAGGTCAACGAGAAATTTCTCGCTCATCATGGCATTGAGCTGCAGAAGGTGCAAGGAAGGTATGTGATACGTAGTCATAAGTACTAGATATGAATGCAATTAAGTTTATTATGTTTGATAAGGTTTTTTTGCTTAATAATAAAATAGCAGATTTTTAGTAAAAATAGTGAAATCCGAGATAAAATGCTATACTTATTTTACCTCGGGAAAATGCGATGCCGTAGATAAATCTGGTGTGTTCAGCGGAAGCACCTCTATAATTTCGTCATTTATTTTGCAGAAGAGCATCGTCAAGCTGGTTTATGTGTCACGTTAATCGCAAGCTGACCGTCAGCGCTGACTGCCGACATGTATGAAGTTTTAGGTAGCGTTTAGAATGACGAGTAGCTATCAGCACGCACGGTTTCTAGAAGTTCATATTTCTCGGCTGTCAGCGTCGACGGTCAGCGTGTGGTCAGCGCGACATTAAACCAGCCTTAATATTTGTTTCATAGTATCTGTCTGTATAGTACTATGTGTTAGTAATATTAGTCACAAGTCCTAAGTTCGTATACATTACAAATACCCTTCAGTACCTAATGCTACAGGAAATCAATACCTGAATAATCAAATATGTAGAGACGACGCGACGGCTTTTAATCAAATTAGTCTGAATTGGTTGCGAATAGCCTACACCGTCAAAATATTAGACAAAACAAAAGAAGTTTAGAAAGTACCTATAGTATACATATTTGAACACAGAACGTGTATTCATTCATAACATCGCAAAACGATAAACCTCTTTGAAGGACTACTCCTTCAGAGGTATATTTAATGCAACATGCAATTTCCATTGCTTATGCCATGGATCCAATGTAATCAAGGCGAGTTTATTACCATTCGCCGGCTGCATTGCCAGAGGAATCTGGAAATATGTGTTAGAAATTTTAGAGATTCCGAAAAGCCCGTAACAATGCCTTGCTGAAGGATACTTATTAACTGCTGGGGAATTGAATCTGAAACCTCTTCAATAGTTACATTTCCAACCACTCCGCCAACAAGACAGTAATATAATCATGCCTTTAGATAAACTAGGTAGCTATGTACATCTCAACGACATCATTAATCTAGCACTCAACTTAAGAATTGCCCATCGATCTCACTCGAGCGGGCAACAAATTAAAATAAGAGCTACAAAGGAAACTTTCATTCTAATGTTTCCAAGTAGTCAAACACTCAATTTTACTTGTTCCAAACAAGTTTTATTATGGAACTTGAAAACTCTTCAACAGATGTGCTTGTAATATTTTTTCCGGTAAATCTTGTTTAATGTAAATAGTTTGGGATCGTAATAAATTTAAAATGTGATTGTGATTATACAAATTGTTGACATCTCGTATTATTTGACTCCTACAAAAGAAAACATAATTATAAAGCGAGAAGCATAAGAATCACAAGGCATTTTTGCTTTTTTTATATTTGATGAGCCGACGTTTGACCACTATCTCGCCTGGTAGTAAGTTATGATGCGGTCTACGATGGAGCACGTCGTCGCATAAGCAACACTCGGGCCTTGAACCTCATTCACTCCCATTTATTTGTTACCAATAAGTTATTCCACCAATAAATATAAAATGCTTCTAAAATGTCGGCAATGCATGAAAGTATTTGTTTTTTGTTACATAGGAGTTTACTGCCTCGTTGGCCGAATGCGAGTGGTCGTTAGTGTGACTGCCGGGCAAGGGGTCTCGGGTTCGATTACCGGGTCGGGTTTTTAAATATTCTCAGTAGTAGCACGGAGTAACCTTCAGAAAAGTGGGTGTTACATTTTACAGTGGTATAATGTGCACCTCTGCCTAACCCTTCGGAAATAAAAGGCGTGATGTTATGTTATGAGTTCACAGGCGGTGCTGATCACTGGCACCAAAGCAAAATCATTAAATACAAAATCCTTACTTCCTTACTTATATTATAAATCGGAAAGTGAGTTTGTTTGTTCCGCCTTCACGCCATAACTACTGGACCGATTGCTTTGAATTTTTGCAGATGTAAAGTTAGAACTGGATTAAATAATAGGGTACTTTTTATCCCGGAAAAATTTGATATTCCCGAGGGAAAACAGTATTGGTATAGATGGCGCTGTGTGTATTAGTATTTGTCACATAGGCTACTTTTTATCCTTTTGTGACGCGAGCGAAGCCGCGGGTAAAAGCTAGTTAAGAATAAATGAAATTTATTTCGTAATACAATATTATACAAGGCATTATTTTTCGTGACTGTAAGTGTAAAATAAAACTGTCATTGTTCTGCAACTGCACTCTAAAGTAGACATGATCGTAAACTGTTCAGAAAGGAACTCTACTTGGCATTCGTTTCATGCAACATTTTTATAGTGTCAATAACTTGCAGACGTTTCAATAAACCTTTTACTGTCGAGTATGGAATAAATTTACGTAGATACAGAAGTTATTGGAATAGGATCATTCTTTGATTATAATATGGTAAGGAAGACGTATTGGGTAGTATTTTCCTAACGTATTTCTGTATGGATGTGGGATACAATCGCTTCTGTAAATGTGGTAGTCAATTTTATTTAGTCGTGTTTTTTAGTAAGTATCTGGGTGAACTTTATGAGAATTGCAGGTATACTGTGTAACATAAATAAGAGTTTAGAACAAGAGCTGGCTGCTGAGCAAGAGATTTTGGGTTGGATTTACGGGTTAGGTTAAGTAACATTGAGTTTTTTCTTTTCGATGTTATATCTAGGATAGGAAATAGGCTGTTCCCTATTACGACAAGTAACACATAAGAATTTAATTATTAATACCAGTGTTCTCTACTCAACGCATGCTGTGATGTCCTTCAAATGTTGTGCATCAATGATAAGATTTATTCTCAATTTTAAGTTAATGTTAAATATGTAGCTGACAATTGGATGTCTAAAGATACTAAAATCTTAGAATACTTTATCTGGAAAAGGGGATCGAAACCAGGGTCTTGCGCCCATCAGTAGCGCTTTGTATGAGAAACTGTATATAGTATATGGATATAAGTTTGTAAATAATATAAAGTAATTGTAACTCTAGTTGCTATGTCTGGGTAGCGAAGTAGATTCCCGAGGGAGTTCCTCGTTAGATGCCGTCTCATAGGGACGCATTCCTAACACCGCATTTGTTATGGTTGTGACTTCGGAATATACGTTACATACGTTCGTTCAAATAACGTATATATACAAAAAATCTTTAGACGGGTGAGTGGGACTGCCCCAGCCTAACCAACCTAGGATTCTAATGCCGGGTTAATACGAATGCTGCTTATGTATTATTGCATATTGCCTAGTATCTACATAACATAACATAACATCACGCCTATTATCCCGTAAGGGGTAGGCAGAGGTGCACACAGAAGTAACACCCACTTTTCACTATTTATGTTATGAATCCCACGTAATAGGGGATGAGCCTATTGTCATATACCGACACACACAACTCCAGACTCCGTGCTACCACTGAGATTTTTTTTAAAAACCCAGTAATACTTTGCCCGACCCGGGAATCGAACCCGAGACCCCTTGCCCGGCAGTCGCACTTGCGACCACTCGACCAACGAGGCAGGCCAAGTATCTATTTTATTAATTTTGACATGACGTTAATATCGAACAAAACGCCCTTCCTCTCTCTTACCAATTTTAAATGTTGCTGTGCCCGACTGGGTCCGTACATAATTGTTACTATTGTATTTTCTAACCACCTGTATGGTACATTATGGATGCAATAAATACTGGATTAATTTATTAAACGAATTACTTAAATTCTTTACGGAATCTGATATAAATACGTTTCGGTGTATGAAAATTTAAATAAAACTTCATCTTGATTTTACCATACATTTAGAATTTACATACATATTTGAATCTCTAAAACACAAGTGTGAATCTATATTTTTCAACCACAAACTTATTGACATTTTAGTAAACCGATACTTTACTCAAAATATAATAAAAAATAATATCATAAAAGGACCGTGTGGAACAACGCGATGTCAATTTCAGTGATGGATGCCTGTAAACTGATGTATCCACGTGGATCATGTTTACTATAGAGTACATACGTCGCATGTCAATATATATATGACTTGCATTCAATGCGAATGTACGGAGAACATACGATGTTATTACCATGAGTAGATATTGTTTAAAAGTCAAGGGTGAATGTTTTGAATTGTTGAATGAATGAATTGTTTAAAAGTAAAAGTAATAGAATTGCCGAAGCTCGTGTTATTTAATGTTCTTTTTTTAATGATATAATTTGCTTGGCATTGTTAACATAAAAACTGACGGAATACATTGTTTACTGCCCGGAATATTTAAATAATAATGATAGTTACATAACATAACATCATGCCATTTATCCGCGAAGGGGTAGGCAGAGGTGCACACAGAAGTAATACCCACTTTTCACTATTTATGTTATGAGTCCTATGTAATAAGGGGTGAGCCTATTGCCATATACCGGGCACATTTCCAGACTACGTGCTAATACTGGATTTTTTTTTGAAAACCCAGTAATACTTTGCCCGACCCCGGAATTGAACCCGAGACCCCTGCCCGGCAGTTGCTCTTGCGACCACTCGGTCATCGAGGCAGTAATGATAGTCAAATTCAAATTTATTATAATGTTATTTGAGGGTTTAAAATTGTGTAGTAAATATTATTTGGCTATTATGGCTGGCAGATCAATCTACCTCAATCTGTCTTTATTAAATAAATTTTCGACTTCATGTCAATATGATAAAGTTGAAGAATTAGTAGACAGAAAAAGATAAGTTGACTTACTGGCGACTATACACTACTAGCAAACCCCCCGAACTCCGTTTCGCCACAGGCTTAGTTTTATGTAACATTTCATTTGGTGATTAATAGCTTTTCTTTAAAGCTATAAACCTCACGAAGCCCGAGACCTTTCCAACGAATGCAAAACCGTGGAAATCGGTTCGTGCGTTCTGGAGTTATAGCGTCAGGAAGGAAGTCCCGACTTATTTTTATATAGTAATACATTATAAAGTGTACAATATACATATTTAATTAGGCGATCACCGTTCGTAGTGTTAACTAAATTACCCAAGACTAATATTGTTTGAAATGAGACATCAGTATGAAGCACAGTGAAGTGAAATTAATAATTTCACTTTTCTGATCCCAAAGGACGGTAGTTCAACTGAAGAGAAGTCAGATGCATTAATAAACGTAATAAGTAGAGTTCAGCTAGAGAAATAAGACACCATCGCAATATAAATGAAAACTGTTTTAAATAAGGATACATTCAACACAGAGCTCTCTAAATATTAATCATAAAGTCGGGTTTTAAATTTACTTTAATTTAGCGGGAACGTATAAATGTATGTACCTATGTACCACATTCTCGTCGAGTCACGTACAACGGTATTTAGTAAAATAATGCTTACACAAAGGTGAATGACCCATTCCATACTTTGAGACCTCTATTATTAAAATAGGTTCCAGTTAAAAATAATGAGATAGGTCTTGATTTAATGTTGGCTAGACCTAGAATTTTAGGTCTATGTTAAGTCCGAATGACTGGGTTGAGGTGAAGGTACTCTTTACTTGGACTGGTACTCTTTAGGTGAAGGGTATTTTAACAGTTAAATAATGTATATTTATGATTATGTTTTCTTTTTGTGATGTAATGTGTACTGGCTTAGGTATAGATATAGAGGTCATATTAGTAATGAATTAAAATTTATGTTTGTGATAAAGAAAGAGCCACGTAAATATTACACGGATAAATTATAGAGTAGCACACTTTCTTGCAGTTTTAATAATTAGAACAAATGATATCGCCATCAGCTTCTTTAATAGAAGGTTGTAAAAAGTATTAAGAAAAGTCCTTTCTTTTTTTAGTTGAATTTAATGAAATAATAATTTATTATATAATAATAATATAATATATAATATGATAATTTATTGAAACAAAATAAAAAATAAAAAATATAATACATTCCGCTATTTAAATGCATCTCCTTCCTATTTAGACTTATGCCTCTATTTTATACTAACACAGTTAATTTTTCCACAGCTATCCATCCTGCTCAGGAGCTATAGCTCCAGGGTTGGCTGCAGACATGCACTTCAAGGACGACGTGATCGCCTTTATAGGGCCAGCCTGTGCCTTCGCCCTGGAGCCAGTCGCCAGGCTGGCAGCCTACTGGAACACACCAATCATTACTGGGATGGGAGACCAAGTGAGTACTACTAAGCAATTAATGCGTTTTTCAACAAAGTTTGTTTTTTAACTATGAGTTTACACGTTTACACTAGGACTCGGCAATGGGGGGGGGGGGTAGAGGGGGGGGGGTGAATTATCCAATGAACTAGGAACAGGTGAGGTCTGCAAATATGACCATTGAGTACATTCTTTATAAAATATGATACACTGATAAAGGATTACCGAGTTCCAATTGTGAAGTCTGGAAGTGTGCTTTCTTTGTACCTTTGACAAACGAAATCTTTTCTAATAAGTATAATGAAACTGGGTATTTTCAAGCACACTCTTGATCAACCACTCAAGGAAGTGATACCTTTATATTATAGAATTATTTTACAGCTTATGTTACCCCTTAGTATATTAGCTACCTGCCAATAAAAGTCCGGTCAAAATCGGTCAAGCCATTTCAGAGATTAACCAGTACAAACAGACAGACAAAAATAGTGAAAAGTGTTATTTTTATAATATAATAACTATCGTGAGACATACTAAATTAACTAAAATCGCGGGTTACTCACGTGAATATACAGAGAAAAGCTCTACTAGTTTCGAACCACAGACGGGTTCTTCATCATAAGCAGCGTGCGCGGTCGCGGCGATGTCGCGCAGCCTACTGGCTAGCCTCTGTGGTTCAAAACTAGTAGAACTTTTCTCAGTATATTCCCGTGAGTAGCCCGCGTTTTTTCGTTAATTTAGTAAAAAGTGTTATTTTGGTAGATATATCGTATGTATATTCGTATGCATGTAGTAAAAAGCCGTTATTTCAATATTACAAACAGACACTCTAATTTTATTCATCTATATAAAAGTATGTTTCATGTTATTTTCTACTGGTCTTTGGTCGACAACTTGTGAAGAGAAACCAATGTCGTGAAAGTCCGGATCCGCCATGAAAGGGAAAACCTTATTTCCACTGGCCTTTGACGTCATCTCATTAATCATTCACATACTGTAGATAGAACTCGTGTCCAATTGTGATAATGTGCCATTTCCTTATGTTAAACCAATCTAAGATTAAGTATTGTTATAGACAAACATAAGCCTCGTACATTAAGTTTTCTATGAAGTCGATGATAACAGTTTTGTAAACTCGCTTACATGTTTTTATAATAACAATCGTGAGACATACTAAATTAACTAAAAATCGCGGGTTACTCAGTCGTATGTCGTGCAGCCTACTGACATCGCTGCGACCACGCACGCTGCTCATGAAGAAGAACCCTCTGCGGTTCGAAACTAGTAGAGCTTTTCTCAGTATATTCACGCGAATAACCCGCGATTATTAGTTAACTTTCTTACAATTTAATTTACGAGTAGTAAATAACAGTGATGACTTTTATTTGTGATTTTTCTCGACATATGTTATTTTTCGATTTTCACTGAACAATTTTGGACCCAAATAATACCTCATAAGTCCTTTTAAAAGCCGTTCATAAAAAGTGAAAATATTCGAAGTACTCAAAAAACGGTAAATAATTCATAATCCAACTGACTTGCAGAAATATATTTTTAGTACGTACGTGTCGTTATACGAAGTGAAATCGGCTATAAATAGACTACTTAATCTTTTCTTAGCCATTCGGCTCGTCTAGCCTTCTCCTACGATTACACTGTTTGGTATTAAAATAGTGTTAGAGAGAAATATTTACTGTGTAATATTTCATGTTGATCTGTAAACGTATATTATTCTGCTCAAGATTCAAACCCAAGAGTCGACAAGGAGCTTGACTTCGACAAGGACTTGTGGACACAATCTATCAATGAAGCAATCATGTATTATAATTGAAATTAGTTTGAATATTTAATCAAAAATAAACAGCTGAAATAAAAAAAAATATAAATGTTAAAACAAACTGAATAGTAAAAGCGTTGTCTTAGAAGCCGGCCATTATGAAGGTGCAGCATGAATAATTCAGTAAATCACACTAATTGCTACAGCAAATCCCTGCAAAAATAATGTTCTATAAACAAGCACTTAGCTGAATAGCGCTTTAATTGTTATTCGTAGCAATGTTACGTACGTGGCGTAGCGCGTAGCACGTAGCCTCGTAGCCGCGTAGGCGTAGTTAGCTGACTTGTTTTATTAGTCGTATTATTTATTATGAATAGTTGGTGTTATAAATTCGATTATGAGATGTATAGGGTCTAATATAATATACGTATATAATGTGTTTATGTACATGAGTATATACGTTGTTGCTACGAAATGTTGTCTTAAACCTTGACCGGAGCTGCCGTAGGGATCAATCGTCCTCAACTTAAGCTGTTTGTCAAAGGCTCGTTTGGGTATTGAGCCCTTGATTTTTGTTATTTGCGCTGGAGTATTGACCATATTCGTAGAATAAGTTTAGACCGAAGCCCACTGATTTAATGTTTCTATTGACCTTGAACGCCGGAAACAATGTCATGTTATATGAGAAAAGATATTATAAAATAAACATACAATCATGGTTTACATTATCTACAAATACTCATGTTTACAGATACGATAACTTGTGAGAGTTTTCCTAAAAGGGAGAGCGTGGTCGATATTATATTGAATAGTTCGATCAAGTATGGTTGCGAACAAAAGTCTATGATAACCCGGTAATCATTATTTATTGAGAATACTTGATCAATTTCTGGAAGTTCCTCTTGAATTGACCTTGAGGTAGGTGTAGTACTGGGAACAACGTGTGTTAGTGGGTGTAAAGGATCTAAAAAGAATAGATCAAGTTTTGATGTTTGATGTCTTATTCCTGATTGACTAAATTAGACTGATTTGTATACAACTAAATGGGTTATGGTTGGTTCAGTGTCTCAAAATGTGGGTGAGGATTTTATGTCTTTGGGAATGAGTTTGTCAAACAATGGGGATGATGACAGGGTATGAAAATTAAAAATATAATTAGTCCGTAAGTTAGGTAATGAAAAAATATTAGACACGTATTTTTTTATTTTGTCGTATAATAAAACAATACTTAGATAAAACGAAGTTTAGGAGTGGGGGCTAAAACGTCATTTCTTAGTATAAAATGTACTGAGAAGTGACGTCACGCGACATTTCAAATCAATATATCTTTGAAACTATTCGTTTCTGTGAGAAAATAAAAAATACGTGTCTAATGTTTTTAAATAATCTATCAGACGGACATTAAAATAAAAATTAGTCGTCTACCCTATTATAGTTATAATCAAACAATGATAGTTCCACCTCATAGTTTTTAATTGAAATACATTTGTGAATGATTTTTAATGCCACCATCAGATCAAAACTATGGTGGTTGGTAGATTTACAGTAAATCTACTTTATGTTGTCTATGTTTATATACAAATGTTCTGCGGCGCCATTCTATTGTTTATGCATAGGATACAAATTGTCTTTCAGAGATAACAGCACTCTCTTACGCTTTAATATTTTAAATATGGTAACACGACACGCACGTCAGAGCGGAGTTTTTTTTTATATTTGATGGAACGACGTTTGACCACTATCTTTACCTGTAATTACCATACTTCGTGCAAATAAACGTTCTTATTCTTATACTTATTCTCGTGGTAAGCGATGATGCGATCTACGATGGAGCACGTTGTCCCATAAGCAACCTATTCAATTCACTCGGGTCTTGAAGACATCCAGGTACTTGAAGATACCCTTCAGGAAATACAGACACTGGCAAAGAATTTCAGTAACAATTGCTAACTAAAACAATATCAAAACGCATCCAGCAGCAACACATGGGGCGCACAATATTAGTTAGTGACACGTTCGTGCTTGCATTTTGACTTTTAGGTAGGAATTCAATAATTGGTCAGTACAATCGCCAATCTGTATAACTGAGGGCCAGTTAATCGAATTTCTACTTATTTTATTATATTAAGCATACACAGTTGTGTATACCAGGCAAACTAAGTAAACCTAAGTTAACGTGAAGTTATTTGCGAGTTAAGTAAGTTAAGTTTAGTGGAACAGCTAACATCAAGTTAGGGAGGGCTAACTTGTAAATAACAGTACATTTCATTGTTTGTTTGGTCCTAAACCTCGGCAGAGCCTTAATTCTAAGAACTATATAATTTGTTAAGTAAAAATGTGGGAACAGTTGATTATTTTTGGTTATTTTAGGTGAAACTGAAATTATACGAGTTGAATAGTAGATACTGTTTGCAAAAAAGTAATTTAATTCTTAACATAACAACATAACATCACGCCTTTTATCCCCGAAGGGGTAGGCAGAGGTGCACATTATACCACTGTACAATGTAGCACCCACTTTTCACTATTTATGTTATGAGTCCCATGTAATAGGGGGTGAGCCTATTGCCATATACCGGGCTCAATTCCAGACTCCGTGCTACTACTGAGAATTTTTATTTAATTCTTATGTACACAATAACACAATAAAAATATGAATTAGATGTCCAAAACGTCCACGTGTATAGAATATTCTTCACTATCTACCTTTAGAGAATAATGATTGATCAAAAATAAAATAACAAATCAATAGAAAATATCTAATAATGACATGGAGATAACGATTGAAAAATTGAATTCGAATTTTATTATCTGCTATCAAAAGTTCATATCAAATTGCGACCACTCTGATAGCCATCAGATGCAGACTTCTAAAGCTAATAGAAAGCCTTATCTCGTCACCTCTGACCTTATGATCTGTCAGACCGTTCACTCTTCACTTGGCTTTTCAAAGGTCCTAAGAAGACCTTCGATAAGGCTAAACAGGCTAATGTATTTATCAATCAATTTTCAAGTTCAGAACTCATTAACCTGAGACGTCAATGCAAATATTGACTTAAAAAGATACTATGAACCAGTGTTATCATCTGGATGCCTAAAATTCATTCGCCAAAATGTGTTTAGAATTTTTCAATTCGATAAGTTTTAAAATGAACAAGAGATTCTAATTTCGATAAAAACCTTAAAATAGATTCGTAATACAATTATTATTTTTGATTCGAAATGAAGTTGAGAATATAATAAAA